CCCTCGTGGACAGGACCAGATGGGGCATAGTTAGTGTTAGACAATTATGTTTTATTACCCTATGTTTACTTTTTCCCTTGCCCCTAAGACTGGTCAAGCTACGGTCAAGTGAGGCTTATCTGTAAGCACTATCTAGTCATGCTCACCTCCCTTTTTTTTTGGCGCCTGTGAGTCCCAGAATGCCTATAAGATCAAATTCCATTCACAAAACTGCATTGTGCTGCCCATGCTCCTCTGAGTATCTGGGTTTTGTGTGAGGGGCCTTGTGTGGCAGGATGGGCTATACGCGAAGGCCGTGGACAGAAAAAGCCTGCTTTACAACACTAACAAGGCTCGTTCTCTCCCTCCCCACCTCACCCTTCCCCATTTGCAGGGCTCGACAAATAATACAATCGACTCGCCGTGGCGAGTAGCTTGTAACCCGGAAGAGCCGGGTTCGGGCGATCTGCGCATGTGCAGATGGCCGGACAGCACAGCTGGCGAGCGGGGCTCACCGCGGTTTGGCAAGCCCTGCCCATTTGAGCCCCTGCCGTGTGCTCCCTTGTGCATCTCTTGTAGAAGGTCACATTTTTTGGCGGCCATCATGTCAGCTAGGTGAATGTCAGAATTGAACCCTCACTTCAGAGCCCCCTTATATGGTGTTCTTTAAGGACAAGGTTAGATTGCACCCTCCACCTCAGTGGCATGGGAGGGGGGCAGTTGCCCCCAGGCCAGGCGCCATGCTAGGGGAGCACCAATTTAGTTCCCCTCCCTCAGCTCGCCTGCTCCTCTTCCTCCCACCGCTAGAAACAAGCAAGTGGTGGTGGTGGTGGGAGGGAGATTTTCCCACTTTTGCCTTGAAGCCCCAAATTTTTGGCACTATTGCGTAAAGCACATGATCCATCTAGAAGCCCAGTGTCTTTTAGGGTTGCAGAACATGCTAAGTGATGCCCTCAAGAGGACCTTCATGGTTCATTAGTGGTCAGTCAGAATAGACATGATAAGCTCAATTTTCCTCAGGTAGAGGACTCCCCATCTAAACCTTTTACCAAAGGTTGTCTCCCAGTTCTACATGTCTCGGGACAGATTTGTACCAGTGTTCTTCCCAAAACCCCATGCTATGCCCAGGGAGCCAGCCCTTCACTTGCTCACAGGAGAGCTCTGGCATTTTTATCTAGAAACAACAAGACCATTTCGTAGGTCAGCCCAACTTTTTATTTCAATAGCTGAAAGAATGAGGGTCCTCCCAGTATTAACCCAATGTTTATAATCTTTAATCACATCCTTTATCAAAGCATGCTATGATCTTGCAAAGAGACCAGTATCTCCTATCGCTATGCATTCCGCAAGTGCACATGCTTCGCTTGCAGTTTTTCTGGTGCAGGTGCCTATTCTTGATACTTGTAGGGCAGCCACTTGGTCTTTGCTGCACACATTTACCAGGCATTCTGCTATTGTGCAGCAGGCTGGGGATAACACAGTATTTGGCAGAGAAGTATTGCAGTCTGTAATCCATGTAGTCTCCGACTCTACCACTGTTGGTAGAGCTAGAGGTTCTCCTACATGAAATGAACATGAGCAATCCCTTGAAGGAAAAAAAAAAAGGTTACTTACCTCTTGTAACTGTTGTTTTTCGAGATGTTTATTGCTCATGTCCATTCCAAATCCCACCAGTTTCCCCTTCATTGGAAATTTCTGGCAAGAAGGAACTTAGGGGGTATGGGCCTAGCAGGGGTATATATGCGCTCATATATTGGCACCACTCCTGGGGACTCCCTGGCTATCAGCTTTTTCTCTCTGCTGAGGGAAAAAGCTTCCGACATCCGTGCATTCAGCGCACATGCACCTACATGGAATGGACATGAGCAACGCATCTTAAAGAACAACAATTATGAGAGGTAAGTGTCCATTTTTATTACTTTCTTTTCATTTGGCTTGGTCTAAACACAGCTTTTGTGTAACTTTTGGTTATGAATGGCATTTTTCTCTTAGCCAAAATAAGTTTGTCCCAATCATAGTATGGATGCAATGACACTAGGATACAGTTGTTATGGTATAGGTTGTTCCCTTACTTCGTGCAAATGAATTTATAGAGCAAGTCCAGTGTAATGTATCAGAAGGAATTATGGAATATCCGACCAGTAGTTCGTCCCAGCACATTGGCTAATACAACATCCATATGTGAATGCGTGTCTGGCATGGGTAGGGTTTTGCAGTGGAGATGCTCCACCCATGCTAGGTGAATTCTGCTGTGATGACATAACTGTAGGAGTCCCTTCATGTGATATGTTCTGCCAATGGGTCTGTTGGTGCCTTGTGCTGCACAATGACTAATCTGTTTGCCACTGCTTAATAAATAACAAGCAAACAATATACAGGAACAATATACAGAAATTTAATTATATCTGTTACGTATTTTTCAGATACCTTCAAGAGAGATTAAAGCAACTGCAAGATGAGGTCAACCTTCTTAAATCTAATATTGCTAAGTACAAGGTAGAGTTTTCTGAGCATTCTGTTACGATGCGCTCCTTTATTTATAGAGTTTTAAACTTTTTTCATTTGTTTAGAGCATACACATTTTTAAAATGTAAAATTGTTTGGGTCTGCAGCACCTTAAAGCTAACATTCAAGGTGGAATACCACTTCCTCTTAACTTTAGTAGACAACTGGGTAGTTTTAGTACCTATATGTGTTTTTGTTTATATCCCCAGTTTTTCCTATAGACTTCTTTGCTATATTTATAGTATAAAATGACTTTTGTAGAAATGTCTGAAAGTGAATAGGTTTGTTTCAAGATCTAGGAAAAAGTTGCTCCTTTCAGTTGGTGTTAGTGTGAGATTGTTATGGCTTCTTGTGAAATGGAGGATTGGTGGTGATGGTAGAAAATTAGTGCTCTTGTGTTTCTACAGAGTGTTACAATGTTTATTATCGTGCAGTTCTTTTATCTCCGTGTTTCCTAACACCAGTACTGTTGATTGGTGAATCTTAATGATAAAAGAAGAAAAATCAATCTCCACTTCTGGGATAGACTGTATGCAGTCTCTTGTACAATAAATCTTCTGGGCTAAATCTAGATGACTGGGTATTCTTTTTCTCATTCTCTGCTCCGATGTCAATCAAAAACCATATAGTCCTTCTTTCTGCATGAGACTTTAAATCTGATGATAATTATTGTTAAGCAGTGTCAGCATTCCCTGCCATTCTAGTGAAGAGCAGAATTCCTCCAAAGCATTCCCAACCTCATTCCTGGCACAGGAGTGAGAAACTGTGACCACAAAGTAGGCTCTTGTGTGCATCTGATGGCTGAGGGGACAGTTCTTGAGGAATAATTAGAGATCATCTTTAGTGAGAATCATGATTTTGCGTGGAACTCTCCCTGAAAACCAGCGTTTTCTGTTGAAGGAACTTGAGAGCTTTAGTGCTCTTTTCATTTCCCTTTTTAAGCATGTCCAAGAGCATTTCTAGATGGTCAGAATTTATTCCAGGATGCTATTCCTCAGGGTGTATTGGTGCTTTTACAAATATATTCAACCATTTCCAGAAAGAGGACTGTTCTAAAAACCCAAGGGGGATAGAAAGAACAGTAAAGGTGATGGTGATGAGGTTCCTAGATTCATAAGGGTCACAAAAGCTCTTTTAGTCTACATAGCCCATACTCCACAATGAGCCCCATTCATCCAACCTGTGGTATAGATACAGAATCGGGCTCTAGAAAAGTAACTCCAGGATTAATATCCCCACCTTCAAATCATTTACTCTAATAAAATGTTTTGACTAATGTTTCCAAAAATATTTTTGTTTCCTTAGAATGCTCTAGAGAGACGGAAAAATTCAAAGATCCATAGCAGATCCAGCAGTAGTGCCCTGACTGGAGTCCTTTCTGCAAAGCAAGGTACTGCATGGATGGATTATGGTGGTATTGTACTTCATTCTTTCTTCACTCAACTCAGGTTCTCCTGCGCTGACTTCTCCTTTTCATACATTTGCATTGTTTCTAGCTGCATCAGATGTCCAAATGTGATGATGCTAGTGGACTTGCTGAGCGTGGTTTAATGAGACCACAGGCTATCTTATTGCAGAGGAAGGTTCTTATAGGCTGGTGTATGGCAGCACTATCACATCAATCTCAACCTGTGCGAAGCAATCTTTCGAATTAAACCTTCCTTATGGACATGTTGTTTCAGTTAGACAGAAGAAGAATATTTTTTTCTGCTAATGGCAGGAGGTCCCAGGTCTTCAGAGGATAGAAAAATGAGGCTCTTTCCAACTGAATAGAAATCTGCTAATTCCAAAAGAAATATTGTCTAAGGAGAAAATGGGTCTAGCTATGTTAGTACTGGTGAGTGCTGTGGAACAATTATCACTTCAGATAGCCACCATTTTTATGATTATTTGATTATTGTATGTCTGCATTTGTTTTGCTGGTTGGTTAGCATAAATCTACATTTAGCTAAGTAATGAAACAAAGGTGGACTTGCTTTTTAAGTCAGACTAGCTCCTTGTGTCACATTTCTGTCCACACACAGTTTTATTTTTGTTTTTAACATTGTAGTCCAAGAGTTGTTATCGGAGGACCATGGATGTAGCCTACCAGCCACACCACAGTCCATTTCAGATCTCAAATCTTTAGCTACTGCCTTACTAGAGACTATCCATGAGAAAAATATGGTCATACAACACCAAAGGCAAACCAACAAGTAAGTAGCATGACTTGGAGGTCGGGGAAAACCAATACGGGTATTCAGAACACTTTTTAGGCTAGCATTTGAGGTTTGAGCTCTTGTATATAAAATAGGAACTTAAACAAGGAAGGGAGGTCAGGTAGATCCAAATTTATGACAATGACATTTCATGGAATAGCAGTTGTTTAGCCAAAGCCATGCAAACTCCTAATATAGCAACTGAAGCATTGGTTTTACAGTCCAACAGCTTATGCCTTGAAATACTTATTGTATGATTCCTAATCTGCCTTGGACATTGTTTAAGACATCGGACTGTGTCCTTATGCAGCACAAGAAAGTGGAAAATTGGAAGCATTTCTTTATTATGTATTCAGCTTTTTAGCAGCACTGACTCACTAGTGATAATCAGAGGTAATTCAGGCTTCTAAAAGGCCAGAAACAGGCAGATATCTTTTATGAAAGGAAGATAAATACTAAAGGAAACTGGATTGCACTAGACTAGATAATTCATTTTGAAATGTGACCATTCCTATACATAAGCATAATCCATAGCATAATTCTTAGAAGTGGCGACAAAAACGTAGGAATAGTTTGTAGGCATACTTAAATTCTGTGGATGGAGCAAGGGTCTGTTGAACTGAAGGGAGGCTAATGTCGCATTGGTATCAGGGAATTTGAGGAGAAATCCAGGCACCTTCCAACCTAGCTGTCTCTCTGACTTGCATCATTCCACCATGTTTCAATTGAAATTTATGATGTCATGGTTCTTTGACATGTGCCCTGCTTTATTTTTGCCCTGTTTTTGCCTGTAAACTTTGCAAATTGCTATGTAAGTATTAAGAGTGTGTCTCACTACAGCTCAGAGCATGCCTCACGGTCTGGTTAGACAAACTTGTGCTAGCTCTGCTCAAACTAACGAACTAAAAATGGCAGTATAGACACAGCAGCACCAAGTATATTTTTTTTACCAGGATGGTTGCTTTTTTTTTTTTTTTTTTTTTTTTTAAACTCTTAGTTTGACCTGATTGCCCCTCGCTACTTGTCTGTTTTCTCCAGATCCTACTTCAAATAACCTTCTCAAATTTAGATAAGTGGAAAGAGATGCAGATATTAATGGGGCCATAGAAGGATCAATAGAAATTAGCAGCATGGCCTGAAAAGTAATGAAGAAATAGAACACTTTTTGGTGGAAAATAATCTGGATGCACAGATACTAAATGAGACATATCTGAAAAACAATAAAGTTGCAAGAGATTAAATGATGGATATTGGATTACATATGACTTTGTAGCGTAGCACAAAAAAAGGCCATTGAAACTTTGGTCAACATATATGCACGCACAGCCTATCCTCCTCTCTTCAGGTCTGTTGTTACCATACATGTAATCAGAATACAGGCAGTCCCCGGGTTACGTACAAGATAGGGACTGTAGGTTTGTTCATAAGTTGAATCTGTATGTAAGTCGGAACTGGCGTCCAGATTCAGCCGCTGCTGAAACTGACCAGCAGTGGCTGAATCAGGACGCCTGGGGCAGAGCAGCTGGGGTGCTGCCGGGTTGGTCCCGTAGCGCCCAGAGCGGCGCTACGGGACCAACCGGCAGCGCCCCAGCTGCTGTACCACAGGTGTCCGGAGCAAAGCCGCGGAGCACGGGGGCAGTGGGACAGCCCAGACGCGCCGTGGCTGTCCTGCAAGTGGGTCAGCTGTAAATGTGCCTCTGCAGACATAATTTGTCTCTGTTGATGTTCAATACAGTTACCGAATACAGGCAGTCCCCGAGTTACGCGGATCCAACTTATGTCGGATCCGCAGTTATGAACGGGGCCCTCCCTCTCCCTGGTCTCCAGCAGACCAGGGGGACGGGGAGCAAAGCGACGGAACACGCGGGCAGCAGACAGCCCAGATGCATCTGGGCTGTCCGCTGCCCGCGTGTTCCGCTGCTTTGTTTCCTCTCCTTGGTCTGCTGGAGACCAGGGAGAGGGAGGGCCCCGTTCGTAACTGCGGATCCGACGTAAGTGCGTAACTGCGTAACTCAGGGACTGCCTGTACTGCATTCAGTTTGGGTGCCTCTATGAAAGAAGGAATGATCAAGTGGAATGAGTTTGGAGGAAAGCAGCAAGGACAGTTAGCCTAAACATCTAGCATAACTATGAGCTAACCATGATTAGAGCAACCTATAGATATTGGGAAGCTGCAAACAGCAAGAAGGGAGATTCATTATTTTGGATACTGTGTGAGGCAACAGGATGAAACAGAAAAAGTACAACTTAGAAAAACATCCTGACAGCACAGTGAGGTATTAAACCAAGGCTACTCAACACGCCACCCGTGGGTGACATGCGGCCCACGGCCCATTTATTTGCGACCTGCAGTGCAGTTTGGATTTATGCCGGTCTCAAGACACGGCTTGCAGGTGGGAGCCAAAACACAAGAAGTAGTCAGTATAATGGTCTTTTGTTGATATGTGTTTTAGTAGTTAAATTCCTGGACTATCATATGGGTAGAAATCGGGTAAATATTGCATTTTATTAATATCAGCAGGACTGACTTAAATGGGGCCTGTGAGTTGTGTAGTCTTGCCTTAATCTTTCCATTCATGCCTGTCAGTGTGAAAGAAGCTATTTGCATATATATTTGTATGAATATGCAACTACACTTAAGCATGTGCTATGGGTCTCCTTGTGGCCCCCAGCATTTCCAAAGTTGAGTAGCCCTGTATTAAACCATGGACTGGTCTTCTAAGGGAAGCAAAGGAAACCTTAGTGCTTTGGGCATCTAAAACAAAATTTTACAAACCCATATAAAAAGTTGGGGCAGTGGGTGAGCTAATAGTAGTAAAGGCAGATACCTGAAAACAGGAAGGCAAACCAAACTAGTGATGAAATGTGAACTCACTATGCAGTGTTGGTAGGGTGAGAGAGGGATGCACAAGGGAGGAGAAGCTTCCCCTCTCCTCCAGTGTCTGGGCCAGAGGTGAAAAGTAATAAGACATTCTATAAATACATTAGAAGCAAGAAGACCAACAACAGAGTAGGCCCACTGCTCCGTGAGGAGGGAGAAACAATAACAAGAAACTTGGAAATGGCAGAGGTGCTTAAGTCATTCTTCCATTCTACTCTGCGCTGATTAGGCCTCAATTGAAGTATTGTGTCCAGTTCTGGGCACTGCAATTCAAGAACATGAGGGAAGACTGAAAAAACTGGGTTGGTTTAGTTTAGAAAAGAGAAGACTGAGGGGAGGGGAGACATGAAAGCAGTTGTCAAGTATCTAAAGGTGTCTTAAGGAAGAGGGAGACACACTGTTCCTCTTGGCCTCTGAGGGTAGGACAAGAAGCAATGGGCTTAAATTGCAACAAGGGAGATTTAGGTTGGACGTTAGGAAGACCTTCCTAACTGTTAGGGTGGAATAAATTGCGTAGGGAGGTTGTAAAATCTCCATCTCTGGGGATATTTAAGAGCAAGTTGGATAGACATCTATCAGGGATGGTCTAGACGATGCTTAGTCCTGCCATAGGACAGGGCACTGGACTCGATCACCTCTCGATGTCCCTTCCAGTTCTAGTGTTCAGTGATGCTGTGCTGACAGGGGTTTCATGCAAACAGGCATTCCTCCTTTCTCAAGGTTAGAGATGCAGAGAGGATAAGTTAGAGAGGAGGCTGGGAGGGCAAGCTGGCAAGAGAATGGAATGTAATGTGAGGAAAGATGACCTAGCTCAGTGATAGAAGTATCTCTTTTCTCCCTGGCCTTTCCTGTTCAGATTCTTCTGTGCAGCAAGGTAACTGTGAAATCACATTATATATTAACTGCCTGTTGTGTTCAAAATCTTCTTAGAAGTTTAAAAATTCAATTTGCTTTCTTTTAAAACTCCTCCTTTTTTTTTTTTAACCAAAAGGTGATGACTCTTTTTGACATACCACTTGAAACCACTGAGTTTATTTACTACTTTGTCCTACATGTACATAGGCATCATCCCTGGAGAATGATTCCCAGTGTGTGTTTTAGTTAACTTGTGCTCCCTCTGCTGGTCTGCTGCAACACAAGGAGAACAATTTGAACCCACAGAAATGGTGGTGGTGGTTGTTGTTGTTGTTACCACCAAGAATTAAAAAGAATTAAAAATAGGATATTTAATCTTTCCCTTACAGATCAGTCTTAACAACTGTGCTGAGTACTCATGAGCAAGGATTGTAGACATCAGTTGCTAACCTGTCTCTCAGGCAGGAGTTTTTAAAATACGACAGGACAAGCCAAGACTGATTAGCACACACTAAAGAATGTGGTAATAGATCCACTTCCCCACACTCAGCCCAGGTGAACTCAGGGTGTTTTTAGGTTGGGATTTTGTTTGTTTTTTTGAGTGACTGGCCAAGCACATATTGATACCATAAGGATTTTCTGTGGTTTTTTTGGTGGGATATATACTCACAATATTTGGAATCAGCAGACAAAAGCACTTGGGCTAGATGTTTGGAACACAGTTATCTTATATTGCACCCTCAGCTTTCCTGGTGCTTTTATTGTTAATCCGTTTTTTGCCAAAGGCAATGAGATGAAATCCTATGTGCATATTATAAATAAAAATAAAGTAGGCAAGAATATCCTGAATTGGCATTAACTGATTTGTCTCCCACAAATGAATTAACCCATTCCCAAAATGCAAACCCATCTTCAGAGTTTGAAGGCTAGGACAGTGATGGAATGCTTTTGTTTAACAGCTACGGTACCAGGGTGGTGGTAACTTTCGGTTAGACATCTGGCTAATGTCTGATCTAGGTTAGCTTTCTGCTCCTGTATCATGTCCTGGGTTCCTTTGCCACTTACTGTTGGAATGCAGGGCTGAGAGCTAATAAATGAGACTTTGGTACCTAATACCTTTAGCGCCCACTAACCCTTAACCAGGAGGCAGGACTACTTGGGGTAATGGGTTTAAAAAGCCAGCTCCAAAGAGACCAAAGAAACTAGTGAACAGAAGCAGCTAACTGGAGTTTTGCAAAGGAGTTTAGAGAGTGCACGAGAGAGCCAGATCCACCTAATTAACATGGTCTAATTACATCCCCATCCCTACCCCAGGCAGGAGTAACTATAAAGCAAGCACAGGTACAAAAGCAAAGTTTAGTGCACTGAATGCAATGTGTATGACGATATGCCATGAAGACAGATGGCATATATTTGCACTTGGTCCAAGTAGCTCATGGCCCTGGGAGACAGAGAATTGGCTCTTGAGACTGAACTGGATGAGCTAAGGAAGACAGATTGATAGATGAGACTTCTTGGGACACACTAGAGCAGACCTGCTCTGTCTGACAGACTCTGTACTGTTGGGGACAACGAAAGCCTTGGGGAAGGCAAACATCAAGGTTGCGTGAAAGGAAATGATCCCGTAATTTGGAACTTCCTTCCAGATGATGTAATGGTAACCTCTTGTACTGATACATTGAGGACGGGGGGCAGAGGAAGGATCCAAGTTAAGACTAGGTGATAGTAATGGGGGATTTGATCATTAGAAATAAATAGCTGGGTTTGTGACGACTAGGAGAACTGCATGATGAATTGCTTTACAGATGCCAAGGTACAAAGAGCTTTTGTGACATCTGAACAGACTTTTGTGCAGTGTTAGGAAGAGCTGACACTTGTGATATGTGGAGGGACCAGTGATCTAGGGTAAGGTAGGAGAGAGCTCATGGAGGTCAAACTTAGGCTGCTAAGTAGGAGGTTAGAAGTAAATGCCTCTATAGTGGTGGTGTTAGAAATGCTTCCGGTTCCACACACAGGGCAAATTGGGCAGAAGTGCAGGATCTCAATGCATAGCTGAGACAGTGATGTAGGGAGAAAGAATTTGGGTTTATTAGGAATTGGAGAACTTTCTGGGAAAGGAGGGACCTTGCTAAACCAAATGAAACCAGATTGCTGGCATGCAAAACTAAAAAGGTCACAGAGCAGGGGTGGGCAATAATTTTTGAAGGGGGGGGGGGGACACGTCACAAATTTTGGAAGTGATCACGGGCTGCCCCAGAATGGGCGGGACCAGGATACTTTGCATGCTTCCCTGCCCACAGACCCTGATTGGCCTGGCGGTGAGGGTGTGTGTGAAGTCTTTGCCTCCGCCCCCACCCTACCAGGGGTGCATGGCGCCTACAGGGAACTGCCAGCGGTTTTGAACAGGCCAATCCAGGCCTTAGGGCAGAGGAGCGCATGAAGTCTTTGCCCCTACCTCTGCTTTGCCAGGGGCATGCAGCTCCTGCAGAGAACTGCAAGCTGTTTTGAACAGCTGGTGGTTCCCTCTGGTGCTGTGCACCCTTGGCAGGGGGAAGGAGACTTCACACATTCTCCTGTTCACTTGGTCTTGATTGGCCTGGGGACGGGGGAATGGCAGGGTGGCTGTGGGCCAGATCAATTGGCTTGGCGGGCTGGATCCATCCCACAAAAGCTGTCTTGCCCGCCCCTGTCAGAGGGTACACGTTTGCAAAAATAAACATTTGCTAACATCCCTTTTGTAAGTGTCTCTTGAAGATGGGAATTACTCCCTCACTTCCAGTTGTAGGAATACCTTCGATATCTCCTTTCCATTGACAATTGTTCGGGATTTAGTTAAGGACTTCTGGGTTCTTATTTAGAGATGTGTTCTAAAGATTAAACACTTAAAAAGCTTACCACAAAATGGAACCTTTCTTATTTTGAGGGGAAAATTAAGGCTAAAGATAAATCTTGCTGGAGCTGAAGATAGTATTTACAAGAGGTTCAGAAACCAAATCCTGGAAAACTAGGAAATAGTCAAAACTTAGAAGTTGGTAAGGACTATAAAGAATTTCAGACTTTTTTTCTATCAAGAGAAGAAAACCAACAAAAGCTCAAAACTGAAGCAAGATCTTGTTCAGTGCAGATAACCAACATGTTAGATACAGTGTAATTGAATAGTCATGAAATGCATGAAAACTTAGCAGTTACATGACTATTTGATAGTCCCTGGGGCAGGGCCAGCAGCCAGTGTGCTCCCGGCCCCACTCCTGGAGAGCCCCCTGCCAGCCCGCTTTTTGTTATCTTGTTAACCTCTTATCTTTTGTTTGATTAACAGTGATGGCAAGCCCCAAAAGGTTCAGGTTAAATAGTCTTTCCAATAGGTATTACATTTACTATGAAAGAAATACTGTGAGAATAATATCTATATACTATATTATATATCAGAAGCAGCAACACAGGGCAGTAGCAGCCCGTTTCTGCAGGGGGTCCAAGCTCCCATGGACAGGGGCTGCTTTGGCATCCCATGGAGCAGCCTCTGTGGGGTGAGTCTGGGCCTGCTGCAGACAGAGACTGCTCCGCAGCAAGCAGCCCCATTCCACAGGGGGCCTGAGCTCCCTATAGACAGGGGCTGTGCCGGCATCCCACCAGCCCTCCACTCTTCATTGCTGCTTCTAATAAAGACAGCATGGGGCAGGAGGCAGCTTTTAAGCTGGCTTCCCCTGAGCACCGACTCATGCTTTGCTTGCTTCCCATGGGAGGCAGCAAGAGGGGACAGTTAGCTCTGCAGAGCCAGCATGTGTGAAGAGCCATCTTAAAAATCAGCTCCCCATGTGTACTGGCTCCCGCCTGCCCCCCTCACCCTCCATGCTGCTGCCTCTCAATCAGATCAGGATTGGATGCTTGTGGGGAGCCAGCACTGGCTCCTGCCTCTTCTCTCCCTCCGGCTGTCTCTGGATCACAGGCAACAAGGTTGAGGGAAGTGCACATAGTCAATAAGCCTGGGCTTATTGGTTAATCATTTACTGGACTATACACTAATATCCTTCTTTTTTATATCCTTCTACTTCCTGGTTTCACAGAACCAGCTAGAAATACCATAAGAGCTATTGTCACAGTATTTCTTGCATAGTAAATGTAAGACCTATTGGAAACATTATTTAACCTGAACATTTTGTGGTTTGCCATCACTGTTAATCAAACAAAAGATAATAGGTTAACAAGTTAATATGTATGAGCTGAGACTGTGGAGAACATATCATGAAAACATCTACAAGTGGTAGAAAATTCAGTGAAGGATTTATTTCTCACTTTGATGTATCATGTCCTTTTTTTCAGAATTTTAGGTAATCGAGTGGCGGAGTTGGAGAAGAAGTTGAGAACTTTGGAAATTTCTGGTTTGTGGAGTCTTCCAGGTTAGTAGACATTCAGAAAAACATGATTTGAGAATGGCCATTCAGGATCTGACCAGTGGTCGGTCCATCTAGCCCAGTATCCTATCTTCCTTCTGTGATCAATGCCAGGTCTTTCAGAGGGAGTACAACAGGCAATTATTGAGCGATTGATCCCTGATTGTCCGATCTCAACTTGTGGCAGTCAGAAAGTTAGGGGTTGCATCCCTCACCAACTTGGCTAATTGCCATTAATGGAACTAACCCCCATGAACTTATCTAATTTTTTTTAACCCATCCCCTGGCAATAAGTTCCACAAATTAACTGTGCTATATAAATAAGTACTTCCTTTTGTTTGTTTTAATTAGCTACCCATTAATTTCATTGTGTGACCCTTGCTTCTTGCCTTATGTGGAGGGGTAAATGACTGTTCCTTATACAGTTTTTCAATACCATTTGTGATTCTATAGATTTCTACCATACCCACTGTTTTTCTAAGCTCTTTTCCCAGTCTTTAATTAATCTTTCAAATGGAAGCTGTTCCATTCTCCTTACCACCAGCATATTCGTTACCCTTATCTGTACTTTCTCTGTTCTAATGTCTCTTCAGAATTGGGGTAACCAGAATTATATGCAGTATTCCTGGTGTGGGTGTACCATAGATTTATATAATGGCATTAATATTCCCTGCCTTACCATCTATCCTTTTCCAAATTGTTCCAAATATTTGGTTACTTTTTTCCCCCACTGCTGCTGCACATCGAACAAGTGTTTTCAGAGAACTGTAAATGACCACTCAAGAAAGATCTTGGAGTCAAATCAGCCAATTTAGACCTCATCATTTTGTTAGTTGTGATTGTTTTCCAATGCTATTATTTGGCATTTATCTGCCATTTTGTTGCCCCATCACCCAGTTTTGTGAAATCCCTTGAATTATTTAGTTTTGGGGATTTGAATGTCCACTTTCAGAGAAATTGGTTAAAATATAGCCATATTTCCATGACTGATAGAGGTTATGAAAAAATGTATTTTGAACATTTCTTGAAAATCTGGTTTAAGGTGTATCAAGTTGGAAACCGAAAATCACTAGTCACTTACGAAAATGATGACTTTACACACATTTTAAATCAGGATATAGTAAAGAGCAAAAGAAATACCATTTGGAGAATGCAAGAAATAATCAAACTATCACTATATGGGTTGTAGCTGAAAAATATTAATCATCTGCTTTAGACGTTAGTATACAATTCTATAACTTAATATATTAACCAGTTTTCAGTGTTTTATTAATTTTAGTGAAATGTGCATTATTGAGGTTACATTCTGATTTGTTTTCTCTCATTACCCCTAATTATTTCTTCTTTAACCATCTTCCTCTTTGGTGTTGACACTACTAGGTTGTGTTTGTGCTAACAGTTTCCCACTGCAGCTACCATTAGCGGTAGCAACTCTAACGTAGACAAGGTTCTAGGTAATTTAACATATATCATTTAGGTCTAACCATATGAAAAAAACCACTAACAGCAATGTACCTAAAGCGTTCTAGTGACAAATCCCTCCAGTTCTACTCTTGATGTTGGTTTTTCCTCAAATTCTCTTGATGCAAATGCAGATAAAATGTCTTGAGTCACACTTAGGTTTACATTCTAATTTAAATTTCATGTGGAGTTGCTTAGGTATTTAACATATTGACATCCTATTTTGTTTTTAAAATGTTCAATGAAATTCATAGTCTAATAAATGTAATGTTCTGTCTTTGCAAAAATGTATAAAAATAAAATAGAATAAATGGAATGCTGAGAGCTTTTTACTTCATTGTTAGTCTATTTAGGGAAGACATCCAATTAATTTTAAAACAATAACTGTCTCTTTTCTTCCTTTCTTTTGCTGCCTGAAGGCCTGAGCTACAATGTCTCAGTGGGATTTGGGAGTAGGTTCTACTTGACATGTATATTTTTAGTAACTAATTTTAGCAGTACATTAAATATTGTCACAGTATGTAAATAAATAGAAATATTATCTGAACATTTTTATATTTGTCATATTAAGATGTTCAATTGAGTGAGTTAGATGGCCACAAGGGAAATAAAGACTCCTGCACAAGACAGTTCTTTTACATTGGGAAAAATGATAGTGAAGGATGATACTCAATAGTTGTAACTGAATTTTACCCTAAATTGCAACTTGCATCAATCAGTGAGGCTTCTTTCTTTGTTTAATGAAAGAAGCAGTAAATTAAGAATTCACTTTTGTTTCCAAGTGTGATCAAGCTCAGAGATTCACAGTCTGAGTCTTGCAATACCCAGTAGGGTCACTAAAACTTTTTCAGATGGTTACAAACTGGCTTCTGCTCTGTGAAATACCTTCTTGTATCTGGTACTATGAGAACTATCATAAGAATGTTGGCTTGGGAGAAGGGTGAGAATACCTGCTCTGACTGATGATAGAAGGATTTTTGAGAAGAACACATCACTTGATTTACAGTGAGTTGAACTTTGTCATTGGAAAGACTTGCAAGTGAGAGCTGTCTTTCAACCATACTAATGAAAGAAGTGTATCAGTCTAGTTCAATAAATTTCAGATTCCTAAAAACAGGATGAGTATTGCCTAAACAATCACCAGCAATAGACTATATCTACTTATTAAGTCCATCACTATGCCATCAGTGACTCTTCTGAATATATTAAAAATATAAATAGCCTTAACATTCACTCTCTCTTTGCCATTCTATAAGAGAAATGACTTGATAGTTTATAGGTTCTTTAGTTGACTGGGTTCTATTTGCTTATATGGTAGGGGAAAAACTGTGGGTAAGTACAATCCAAAAAATGGATTTTGTTTGAAAGTGGTGAGGTCTGTAGTTGTAATCTTTTGTTGGGGTGAGTTCCATAGGGTAGGTCTCAATCCTGCAAAGTGTCTTTCACATTAAGAGCCACCCTTATTGGGTGATGGTTTCACTGTACTAGCAAAACTCAACCTGTCACAGGAGAGCATAGTTGTGTTGGGAGAGGTCTCGGGCATGGATTACCTCTGTTCATCTCCACTGAGGGTGGAGCAAAGATGGTGTTTCAGTATCCTGGTAACATTTCAATTTTGTATTAGTTTCCTAGAACTAGGGTGATGATTACAATAGAAATGTACAGTGATTGTCACCCCACTTCTGAGACTTCGGTATAAATGGACACTTTGTATCAACAATTGGCTTATAATTATCATGCTCTCAAAACCAATTCCCAGCACAGAAGAATTAGTCTGAGTCCAAGAACAGTTCACTTGCTTTTTCTTATGACTGTAGATGCTGCAGATCCCTTTTGTTACTCAGCGAACACCCACTTAAACCAGCTGAGGAGCTGCATATTTCCTCTCCGGGGGAGTGGTGTATGTAGCTCAAAACAGTTTCATCTCCTTGGAGTGGATATTTAAAAGGAGGCGAAAACTTCAAGGGATTTGACAAGACTCCATATGAGAACATTGTATTCCTCTGAAGAAAGAAGGAAACACACTTTTCTTGCCATCCTCTCACTCTCTTATTTACCTGCTTATTTTCAGCGCTATACATTTTTAACTAGAAATCCCCCCGAAAGCTCCCTAAATTATGTCCCTTCCAGCAGCTTTATGTGGAAAAGAATAACTTACAGAAGTGAGCTAGCTTAGTACAGGCTGTCCCCGACTTACATCAGATCCGTACTTACGAATGGGGCTTTTCTCGCCCCGGAGGACGCGTGCGGCGGGACCGCCCAGACGCGCTGCAGTCCCACCCTGCTCGGTGTCTCCCTGGTCTGCTGGGGGGAGGCCCCCCAGCAGACCAGGGAGATGCGGAGCAAAGCCGCGGAGGACCCGGGCGGGACTCGGCGCATCTCGGTCCCGACGCCCGCGTCTCCATAGTCTGCTGGGGAGGGGCGCGCAGCTAGTGCTCCCCTTCCCCCAGCAGACCAGGCTTTTCTCGTGGACGCCTGTGGTAGAGCAGCTGGGGCTCTGCCGTTTTTCCCACAGCGCCACTCCTCCACACTGCAGGACCAACCCGGCAGCACCCCAGCTGCTCTGCCCCAGGCATCCCCAAGTCAGCTGCTGCTGA